GGGGCTCTATCAAGGGCAGTGCTCAAGTGGTGGTCTACTGCTTCTGCGGTGCCTCCAAAGAAGATTCGGCCTGTTGTACCACGTTCTAGGGCTTTAGCAGTTGCTGAGATGAAGTGTTGCTGTATATTTGGGAGGGGGGGGATTGGGCGTCCTCCCCCCCTTCCCAGGCCCCTTCTCAGGGGCGTAGGCGAGGCCGGAGGTCTCCTTGGAGGAGTCTCCATGGAAGGAATTTAGCTTATTAAGCGAGAGTAAGAGAGATTGAGCGTTTTAGAACAAAAAATTCAATCTACGAAAAAAGGTGATGGTGGTAAGTTGACAAGGTTGTAGTATATAGGCTTAAAAAGAAGCGCTTAATTAGCTCTAGAATATAACAAAGTATAAGCTATATACGACTATAGCGTGCTATAGTATAATAGATAATAAAGGAAAGTATATAAGGAGTAATCGTAGATATACTCGGGAGTGCCTTGCGTATATAAAAAGCTACGTTACGTGCGCACCCTACTAAAATCAGTTAAGGTATAAGCACATGTAAACTCGTCCGCATCGTACGTAATTCAAATTAAAAAAACATACTCTTTTAGTATAAGATAATACTTAATTACACCTATAAGCATACGATTTATACGTCTTTCCGACGGGTGCATGTGGCGCTATATCGTAGTTAAGAGCGATATACGTGTGCCTAGCGTTGCACTTGCTTCCGCTGACTATAAGCGACTGAGCGTAGTAGGAAGACGCACTGACTATTAGTCTCCTGTCCGCTTAAACACCCTTTCCCATCAACCCACTAGACCACACACTCCCATCAACCATCATCCAAACACTCTCCCCCTACACCAGTATCCTTTTCCCCCAACAGTTCAAACAAAACAAGACCTATCCCAATTACCAGAAATACTCAAAGTACTAACATCAAACAAAATGTCATCGTATTCACCCTCGTTCTAACCACTTTATTATAAAAAAGACACACGTCCCGCCCGTACTCTAAGAAGTAAGGTACTAAGGATACCATTTACATGTACATGTAGTATCCTCTCTAAATTCAACAAGTTCTTGTTTACCATACTAAGTAAGATTGACGAAGCTGCGACATAAAATCTATAATATAATGCTTTACATTTACCAATTGGTCCAGTTCCCCCAAAGTGTGTTTACAGGAACTTCGAACCTCCCTTTCCTACAAACAATAAGACTATAAATTGAAGAATACTGTATGGTAACATAAGGGCTTCTCTTCATACAGTCAATTACTTTACTGTATCTACCTAGTGAGACCCTGTGAAAAGAGCAAGACAAGGTACCTACGATGAAATATTGTAGAATGATACGAGTAAAGAGACACAATCAGGACCAAGTTTTGAAAGCACAAAGAAAAAAAAGTCAGATATCAAGAAGGAATTCTAATTTTGATTTCATCTCTATTAAAGACACAAATGAAATCGGTGGATGAACTATTTACATCTCTACTCGTAAAAAAGAGGTACGAGTATCGAGAAGAGGTGGAGGGAATCATTTATAGGTATTCTCTTCGTGTTTTACAGCATCGTCCCTTCAGCAGTCATTTCCATCTGCTTCCCATCCCCGGATTTCCAAATCCTTTCCTTCATTCCCCTTCATTCCCGTTTCTTCATCCACTAGCCAAGAACATTCATACATGTCGTATACCTGTGTTGTTTCCTTGTCATACTATCGATTTTCGAACATTTCAAAAAAAGAGGGATAGATTGTGCTTGGGTGTGAGATTTCGAACTTTCGTCGAGTGAGGAGGAATGAGTAAGAGACTCAGTTTAGAGGTGTGAGAGGTGAAAATGAGTTTAACCGTAGTGCTTAATGGCACCCCAATGTTGCTCAGCTCCAAACTCACCAGCTGGCTTCCATGGCTCATCGATATACGAGAACATGACGGATTGAGATCCGCAGGACTCGGTGATGGACTTGAGAGCAATGGCTTGGTTCTCAGGACCAGGGCAAGCCTTTCCATTGCATTTTCCGGCAGATGGCCATCCAGTCTCCAAGTTAATACCCTTCTTTCCTGGGCACATACCATCGACAATCTTCAATTGAGAAAGGGTGAAAGGACCGGCGTTTTCAGCGGTGACGTCGGCGTTGAAGAAAGGATGGATGTTAGCACCAACGACATCCACGGCATCGCAAAGAGCAGCGGTGTTGGTTTGCCAGATGTTGAGGGTCTCAGTGGTGGTGACCAATCCGTGGTATCCACCAGCAACGAACCTGGTCTTGCTAGAGGTGATGAACTCAGCAAGAGCAGTGGCGGAACAGTAGCCGTTGAATACAGCCTCGTTACCGACAACAATGAGGTCGACCAAGTCCATCTTGCCCCATGCGACAATAGCATCAATTTGAGGTTGAGCACCTGAGATACCAGTGGCACTGATGAAGACACCAAGAATCATGCGGAGTCCAGAAACGGTGCAGGCGTTTCCAACGTTGGTGAGTCCGGAACAGTCGGTGCTGTAGATACGGACAGCCTGGAAACCAGCGGCCTTGATAACCGCGATATCAGCAGCAACTGCGGCAGCATCTTTGCAGGCTCCACCATCAGTGTATGGAGAGTAAGTGATGGCCCATTTGTTTCCTCCAGAGCTTCCGAGGTTACCGGTAGGCTTCGATGGGGTGGTTGTTGCTGGAGCAGAGCTTGCGGGAGGAGCAGCTGATGATGGAGCTGGGGCTGGAGCCTCTTCTTTTGGTGCCTCTGGCTTAGCTACCTCGGTGACTTGGGCGGGCGCAGGTGGTGCGGGGGCGGGGGTGGTGATTGGTTCAGCAGTTGTAGATGGGGCAGCAGATGTGCTTGGAGCAGCAGTTGTAGATGGGGCAGCAGATGTGCTTGGAGCAGCAGTTGTAGATGGGGCAGCAGATGTGCTTGGAGCAGCGCTGGGGGTTGGTGCCTCTGGAGTCAATGGGCAAAAGATCACGGTTTGAGTATCAATGACGGTGACGATCTCAGGGCGAACGTAGACTCCTGGAGTAATAACTGCTGGAGTTGGGAAGATCACGACTGCTGGTTCTGGCAAATATGTTGTCAATGGAGCAATGGTGTAAACTCCACCCGTTGGGCAGAGGAAGGTTGTCAGTTCAACGGTTGAAGTCACCTTGAAGAATAATGGTTAGTTTTCTTCTTCTTTCTTGAATTCATTATCAAAGAGGGGTACTTACGACACCGTCGTTGGTGTTAATGACAGGAACTGGGCAAACGATAGTGGTGGCAGTCACTACGCTGGTTCTGTATATCAATTTGAAGTTAGCGTGGACTCGTGGCAATGGTTTATCCTCTCCGAGGAATATTTAACGCGAGAAATGTTTTGTCCCAACATCCCCAAATATCATAGCTTCTAGGGATTGGAAAATACTTACGTGATGCCTCCATAGGTCTGGTTTCCAGCTGGAAGGGAGGTGGTCTCAGCACCACACACGGTCGTGGTGGCCGTGACGGTAAGAGTAGTAGGTGGGATAGTGTATGTTCCTGGGCCTTCAACTGGGGTTTGGAAAGGAGTTGGAACTGGAATCTCTGGGGTCTTCGTGCTGATTGGAATGACAACAGATGGTGTAGGAGATAGAATTGGGCTTGGAGATGGGATTGGTGTTGGCTCAACAGAGGCGACCTGAACAGCAGGGGTTGAGGATGGAGGAGGTGCGGAGGTTGCTGGAGCAGGTGGGTTGTAGACTATTTCGAATGTTAGGGACGTCTTATTTTGACGATATCTCACCACTCGGGAACCATAGACGTACGCATAGGTTCTCCAGTAATGGTCTTGTAGATGGTGGTGCATCCACAGGTTGGTTCCGCAACAAGACCAGTCACCAGGGCACCGGATGCAAGGTGGCGAGCCATATGGGCGTGTCGGCGTCCAGCATGGCTATCGCGCGCATTCGCACCACCTGCAATCGCCGCGGCCAGTGCAAGAATGGTGGTCTTCATGATGAGTCTGTCCTTTTAAGATTATAGGGGCGTGATGTAGTGGTCGCGGTAAGATATTAGGCTCTTAGGGTGGAGGTCGAGGGACGTTTGGAAACGAGTGCCCGCTGAAAGAGTGAAGCGGTGGTGATGGGGGAGTAACAAGACGATCACAACATCGACGAGGAGAAGAAGAAGAAGGTGAAGAGACGATGGGGAAGTGCATGTCAAGTACTAACGGCGGACAGGGGGCGAGCAAGCGATAGGGGTCCCTTCTTGGATCTTCTTGCGCGTGCTTCTTGTGCTGGGGAACTTGGCCTGCAGCAGGTGGAGCCGCGAGGTAAATTACAGCCATGGATGAGCATTTTGACTGGCTGTCTGCCGGCCTTTTTCAGGGCATCTCAACCGGGGCTCAGGGGAGCGACGGAGCATGTTGTGACATGGACTGAGCAAACACTGCTCTACAGAGTGTTCAGTACAGAGTGTTCAGTACAGAAGGGGCACTGGCCTAGCACTGGCCTAGCACTGGCAGGCCAGAGATTACGAAGTAACAAACACTCGTTTTCCCACGCCCACTGCGGCTCCGTCTCCACGAAGCCATTCCAGGCCTGGCTGTCTCTCACCAGAGGCCCCGACACGGCTCGTGGCTGAGTATGGAGCGGTCAAGGCCAGCGCTATGGCGGTAACGTGCAACACTCACTCACTCACTATCGAATTGGGCGTATGGGGTACTCACTTACTCGACCTTGGTGAGCCGCCAGCGACGTCAGGGTGAAGTGAGGTGAAGCGGGTGGAGGTGAAGTCAGTTCAAGAACTTCAAGTGCGCCTCAAAAAAGGAGAAGCTTAGCCAGCCAATCACCGCCACTTTCCAGCCTGCCGTGCGGGGTGACGGCGGCACGGCGGTTGGCTGGCCGTCCCTAGCCACTTGCACTTGTTCCTGACTAAGCTCCTTTGGGCGAGAGGGCGGGCATCAACCTTATGCTGCCATCTGGCACAATCTGCCAGGTCGGTATTCAGCTATTCCCGGCCCACGAACGGGTAAAGCCCCGGCGGCGACAAAGGTTATTGTTAAAAAAAACCTCGGATCAACAACCCCCATGCACCAAGACATATTTCTGGAATCTGTTGCAATCCCCACAAAGGGGGTGACTGTTGACACTCGAGAGGGAGATCCGTCGATGAAGCCTGCACAAGTTTATGGAATCCCGCGACGTGTGTGACGGTGTGTCACCAAGTATAACTCCGTTACTCCAACTACGAAGTATGAGGCTGAAGATGTATGGTGGTTGCGCCGATCCTCATCGGTCTAATTTCAAGAAACGAACCGCCGGGTCAACAAAACACTAACAAAAAAAGGTTCCCGGGCACCTTCGCTTCTACTGCAGCGATGACCCTTCAACATCAAACCCAATGACAGAGCCGCCATGCTCCATCTCCTCATTTTCATCTCCTCACAAACATCTCCTGGCTCAAGGTTCTTGAAAATCTGAGAGATCTGAGAGAATGAAGCAATTCACAACCTCCCCTCCTTCCCTTGATCATGGATGATATTCATTTCCCACCAACTTCTCAATCCGGCACTTGGTCGCTTGTTTAATTGAAAGATCAAGCCTCCAAGATCTTGGAGAAGTCCCTTATCACGCTGAACCGGAGTCTGGACCACGATCAATACCCATCAATATTCCTTCCCCTCCATTGTCTCTCCGCCATGTCCTCCCTAAATCCCGAGTTTGAATGTTCACCATCGGTGACCGTCCAAAATCCAGATCCTGCAAACCTTTTTATACCACACAACCAACGGCACTCTGACAGCACTCTGCGTCAACCCGTTACACGACTCGAAGCCCTGTGGACGCACTGCAGCAACACCAGTCAGGCTCGGACATCCACACCTTCATCGCCCATCAAAGAGCTTAACTTCAGCCTTCCCACCGATCATCTAGGTCCGTCTACCCGCTCCTTAGTGGCCCAAAGAAAGTAAATTACTCCTCGTTTAGGCCTTCCCCGAATCTCCAAATGGAGTCCCAATTCCAATGAATCCACCCATTGTTCCATTCTCCGATTTCTGGGTCCGAGTCTGGGTCCGGGCGAACGTAGATCCGAATAATGCTACTTCGTAAGACCCAAAGTCAACACGAGAAATCCGCATTCGTATCCCCAATTATTTCTCATTTTTCGATTCGCTGGATAAGTATCAATTTTGTTTACTTGCATATCTCGTTTGTTGTAGTCGCTTTACGTCATGTTTGTGTGTTGTGTCTTTTACCGGTACATATTTATACTGATATGATCATCATGCGTATGTTGTGTGATGGCAGGGGGTACCATCGCATCATTCTGTCATCAGTGTCATGGCTAGAAATACTTCGTACAGGGAACCTTTGGAAAACAAAAGTTTCTGTACCGGTACAGTAAGTCATCTCACGCGCCACACCCGGAATCCGGCAAACGGCTGCGAGGGTTCAGAATGTGTGGAAACGTGGGGAAAAGAAGGAATGAGATGAACCCCGACTTTATTTTGCGGCTGACTTTGATGGTGGCGTACTTGATTATTTACAGTACGAGAAGGAATCGCTACTCTGCGAATTTTGTTTTTCTATCTGCTTACAGTGCATAATAAATCATGAAGGAATAGGAAAAAGTTCACGGAAAGTCACGAGATCTAGGCTCAAGTAGAAGACGGACATCGGTAGGTACGGAGTAATTACTTTTTTATCTTCTAGACAATTCTTCTTATCTAATAATAAGTTAAATTCCACAGAATCGGAGGACTCTTATTATCTTATACTAAGACCGATAAAAATAAGATGAGACCCGATTCCATATTACTTAACTCCCTTTACCAGACACCAACTCAGAAATCTGAAAGTTGCAAATCAAAAGTCAATTACCCAAAGCCTGAAGTATTCTCCAACCGACCTAGTCCTGGAGAACTTCCGCTTATCGATATCGATCCACGTGACCATAATAAATACCTATCCCCGGCCAATAGATGCTGAAATTTAACAACAGGGCAGCTACCTTCATTACATCTCGATGACAAGAGATCTATAATTGAATCGACACTGGCAGCTTTTGGCAGGTTTATAGTAAAACACAATACATCGCCTAAAACCTCACCCCTTAAAACGTGATTTGAGTCGAGCGGGGACCCCACCTCCGGGTATGTAGGTGGAAGTGGTGACCTCATACCTTCTCTTCCATCCTTCTAAAGAAGGAACCATCGCGAATCATACATATCTGGGTAGAGAGACAGCTCATTCCCAACCAGGAACTGAGGGAGATGGTAATGGTATATATTTGTGTATGTTGTGAATCGAAGTGTAGATACTACTACATCAAAATCATCACTTATAAACACCAACCCCACCCAAGGATCACGGAACCCAGTCCTCGTACTCAGACTTCATCTCCAACTTTTTACACTTCGAGTTTTTCATCTTCTATCTCATATCCTACATACATAGTGCAAAATTAGCCCAGAACCCCAAAACAACGTCATCACGTGAAACACCCCACGATGACAACCAACACACCCCCCAAACCCGAACGAACAGCCATCAGAGGCATCCTCGAAATCCCTCGTCTGATCACGGGTCTCTGGCAACTTGCCGGTGGACACGATAAAGATGTTGATATCTCCGTTGCTACGAGGGGGATGGGTCCTTTGTAAGTAAGATACGTGATGCACCGCATTAGGTCAATAGATAGTAGATACTAATTTGGTACTACTGTAGGATTGAAGCGGGGTTGGGTTTTTTTGATATGGCGGATTATTATGGTGATGCTGGTACGATTTCAAGTTTTCGTCATCATATGTTTGTAGTTGAGGGGTTTTTGAGCCATTGACTAATAGATGTTGTGTCTAGAACTTGTCATCGGAAAACACCATGAAAACTCCACGAAAAAAAGATAACCGCCTTCACAAAATGGTGTCCCATTCCCAACGGGAACACGAGCTTCGAACAAGCCGAAAAGGCCATCGATCTATCTATTTTTTAGAATGAACCAGAAATCCATTCCTTTACTACAATGTCCGTCTAACCCTCCATTACCCGTTCTCTCTCATACCAGCAAACCTAACTACTTGTATAACCCAGATCACACCTAATCTTACGCAGACCCCACACATCTCAACCACCTCAAGTCCCAAAGCAAAATCTCCACCCTAGGACTAACTAACACCAAAACCAACACACCCCACCTCACCCACCTCCTCTCTCCAACTTCCCAATCGCAAGCAACCAAATCTCCTGCTTCGTTCTCGACCGGCGATTCGTCCTCGGAGACATGTCTACTATTTGTATCGAGGGTGGTATATCTGTTGTCGCCTACGGAACTTTATTAGACAGTTTCCTATCCGAGGAATGGCTAACAAACCAGAACCAGAAAATGATAATGAATTAAACTGGGGTTTGCGAAAATATCTCGTTTCATAACCATCACGGGGGATGGGAAAATTTCCAAGTCGTCATCTTACTAAACACTCTGAATATACTCGCAAAAAAGCACCATGTTGGGATCGCAGGTACGTCCTAGTTGATATCCCGGGGATCAGCATTGTGGGCTCGAGACTTGACACCGAGTCTGAGAGGTATGTTGGGAGGAATTTGGAGGTCTTTGGGTTTGTACTTGATGGGGGGATTTAAGGCGGATTGGGAGGGCGCGGGAGGGGTTAGGGGTGTTTTTGGGGATTGTGGGGATTGTAGGGATGAGTAGGAGGGTGCTGTTTTTTAGTGTTTGTGGGGAGGTGAGGTAGCGTATTAAGAACAGGGGAAAGGAGGGGGAGGAGGAGAGAGGGGAGGTGGAGAGGATGAGGATTGAGGGGAGGTGGAGAGGATGAGGATTGAGTATAACTCTGGAAGCTTCAAAAACCTATTATTGTATATCCCCCCCCCCCT